TTGGAGAAGTTATGCGATTGCATTCGTAATTTAGCCCAAAAAACCACTAGCCACAAAGGGCCATTATAATAACTGAACGATCTAATATCAAAATTAAAACAATTTGGTGCTTCTCCATTAATGATCACGCAAGATCGAAGAAACTCTGGCATAGACATCCCAACTAAGATTGCAAATTTAGAATAATAATAAAAAATATATAAAGCTTGAAAAAAAATTAATCCATAACAATACAAATAAAACTCTCACAAAGGAGAGATGAAAAGCTCTCTCAAAGGAGAGGTGAAAAGCTCTCACAAAAAGAGAGGTGAAAACTACACAAAGAACTCAAAAAGTCTTTACGACTTATTCCAAACTGAAAGAAACCGCAAAAAAGATGGTGGTGGAGATCCGAAGCCAAAACACAGGTGGAGATTTGACGCTATTATGCAACCGACTGTGATGATTAGAGGAAAATCATAATTAAACAAAGATAAATAGGGGAAGCCTTCTGTCTTTGAGAATTGGGGAAGAGGAGAAGGAAGGAAGAGAAGAGGGGCGAGGGGAGGAAGAACAGTGACTTCCTCCCCCTCAAAGTGGAAACGGCTTTTTTTCCTCGAGAAAGAGAGGTCTAGAGTTTCTCAAAAAATGTCATGAAAGTGGCAAACCTTTGAACCTTCGATATAAATTATTATTTTTGCTCATTACACCCAAAAATCTGTTTCTATGTCATGGCTAGAAAATTCATGACTACATGAAGAGAAAGACTCCAAACAAAATGTAGTCAAAATAGATACTCTTTTTAAAAGAATTTACCAAAGAGATATTTTTTTAAGTACAAACGATAGTTTAAATTGCAGGGAATGAGGATTTCACACACATAACTAAGATGCCATGGGAGCATTGGCAAACCCAATAATTTTTAGTGAAGGTGCAATACCAATCCAATTATCCTTATAATTTTAAAAAATAATTGGCAACAAAATATCCTTATAATTTAAACAATACCAATGTCATTCATAAATCATTAAAAAAAAAAATTACAAATAACCTATAACTTTTGTTGACGAGCTTTCATATCATGAAAACGTTGAATTATATTTTCATTACTAATACAAGCAAAAACATACTTTGGATTGGCGTTTGCTCAAGAAGAAGAAAAAATACGCATAAGACTTACTTTGGATTGGCACACTCAAGAAGGAAAAATATGTAGAATTCTTAGGATGCACACTTGATAAATTTGTGTGATGGTAAATTGGTCCTTTATAAAGAGAACTCCCAATTCCACATAAATAAAGAATTGTGCAAGAGTTTCCTTTTTTTAATCCTTGTTCAAATAAATAAATAAATAAAATAAAAACCTAGTTGTTAAAAGCCCTAGAGTTTAAAGCCCTTATTTAAAGCCTTTTTTCCTTTTTCATGTAGGCCCTAGATAAAATGTTGTTAAAGCCCACCCATGAAATGGCAGTCTAGGTTTTCTCTTTTTTATTTTTTAGTTTTAAAGCCTAGTCCAAACAACGTCATTTTGGCCAGGATTAAAATAAAAAATATATAAATATATAATAAAAAAACAGGTGCACAACGCGCAACTGAAGCAACACAGACTTGACTTCGTTTAGGATTTTCGTGGAACACCTATAGTGCACCTTCCAAGTTGAGTAGAGATGCAACAATGGCTTTTCCAGCGAGGACAGGTACAGCTGTACATTCTTGGGCCTTAATAGGTTCGCCACTGCGTGGAGGTTCGAACCTAAGACCCCTTGTTTGCAAGTGAAGGCCATTTTCCACTAGGCTAGACTCCCATTGGCCAAAGAGAAACTTCATTACATAAACTTCAACAATACAATAAAAGATATCAACATGACATCTAAAGCACCAATCTCAAGAAGGTAACAAACTAACATGCTAAAAACAAAACTACAAGGGATAAAAGCCGCACTAAAACTATTAGCCCACATCATCACAATTAAGCACACAAAGCCCACAAACCCAATATAGCCGAAACCCTAAAGCAACTTGGAAGCCTAATGAACCCTGTCACCACCTCCTGAAGAAGTGTTGTCACGGCCACACCCATCACCTCATAAAATCTTGAAGCAAGAACAAAATCCATAACAAATATGGGGAAAAGATGGTTTCCAACGATATACCTGCGCATAAGAGTGAACACATAAAACAAAACAACAACCATGCCAAAGAACAATTGGGTGATTTACAGCAAACTCCGTCAAATATGATGTAGAATTGAATTTAGAGACATGAGCAGTGTTAGAGAGTGAATTTTTTGGGTGAATGATTTCATTAGGAGAATGAACTTTAATATGAGCATGGCTCAAAAGAAATCACCACACAAGGGGTTTCTTATTCAAAACGCGCCAGTAGACTTATTCACTAACCCAAAATAAAAAGGCAAGAAGAGAGGAATGGGAGGAGGGACCAATGACGCTTCTTCCTCCTCCCCGCTATGAAGTTTTTCTTTGGGACTCACATGGGGAGAAGGAGGGTAGGATTAATTAGAATAGAGACTTGACAATTGCATTAAAGCATCACCATCTCAAATTACCCAAAACAAAGAAAACCATCTACAAAAAAATTGTTATTATTTTATCTAATCAAAGTGTAATCTTTTATGCCTTACGAGAACTCTACTTATATCCCCATCTTAACATCTCATATTCGTATAAGGGATAGAGAGAGACTGAGAGTTTGAGAAATTATAATCAAATGTGTTGTTAAACGAACCTTAAAATTAACTGAATACACCATATTATCAAACTATTTATTAAATCACTAATTTATTCTAATATAAAATGATCAAAAAAGATATATTGAATTACGAAATAAATATAATTTTAATAAGTACACCATACTCACCATATTCAAGTCTAATCAAATTAGAATTTCAGACTTTGATTCCAAACATATTTGAGATACAAATTCGAAGTTTTTAAAAAGTTAATCAGCCCCAACAATCCCAAAAACAACAATTTGAGTTAAACAAGAGTTGGGAAAAAGACTCTGAAAAAGTTGAACAGTTGTGTGCGATCTTGGTAAGTTAAACACCGGTGGTAGTTTAGTTTACACCTTATCTTTTTTTATTTATTTTATGCAATGTATCATGTCAGCTCATTAGAGCATCTCCAACCGATATGTCAAAAGTGCTACATAGACATTTAACGGCTATAAATAACATCTCACATCACTCAAACTGAATTATCAAAGCTGATATGGAATGAAGGTTGGAGGTTCAGCTGTTATTTTTGACATCCCAAAAGCAAGATGTCAAATAAATATTTTATTATTTTTAAAGACAAATGGCTGTGACTTTCATTTATAATTTTACTTTTTTATTTTTCTTCTTCTTTATCTTTAATGATTTGACTGTTACAATAATTATTTATTTGACATATCGGATGGAGTGTAAAACTGTTTAAATATCAAATTGCCACATCATCCATCAAATTTAAATTTGATGTTTGGTATTTGAAATCTCCCTTGGAGATGCTCTTAATTAGAGCAACCATGTCTATGAATATTCCATAGGAGGATAATAGAACCACGAAGAAAGCTCAAATGGCAGCTTACAAAAACAAATCTATCAAATAATGATCCAGCCTTCCTAAATACTCATGAATTTGGTTCAATGCATGGGTGAATCTCTGAGGGTTTACATTTGATGAAGGGAAAAGGAGTTGATAGGAACAAATTTGATGAAGACGACCAATTCATATACAATAGGGTGTACCTAGTATTAGAGTGTTGTTTGATAGAGTTAGGGTGTATTAGAGATATTTTAGTTAAATAAAGTATACTTAGTTAATTTTATATTTTGATTTAATTATTAGGATGTACTTATATTACTCAGTTAATTTTAGAGTTCGTTTAACAACACCCTAATCAAAATAAGATAACTTTTACGATTTTTATGTTGAAATAAAATCAGAATAGATCATGTTCTGGAGTTTCCCTTAAAACCAAAAATTTAATACCTCTTAGATAACTTACGCTAAACAATTTTAAAATTATCAAATCGAATGCGCGTGACTACATGACAAGGGACTAGCGAGACTATTGACAAAAAAAGCAAAAAATAAAAGTAGTACTTCTTTATCAATGTGTGCACTCTCTCTCTCTCTCTGCCTCTGGTTGTCCGGACTGTCCCCTAAGTTTTAACTCTCCTTCCAACCTTAGACAATGAAAGAGTGCCACTTAGGAATTTGTCATGAATTTTGTCGGTAATTGAAGGATTTTTTTTCTTCTTCTAATTTGTAGAGAATGTTTTACTTGAGCATTTTTAAAATTGTTATAGGTCTATGAGGGGTCTTGGGATCTAGCATAAATGTCGTTTTAGTAAAACGGGCACGACCTAGTTCGATTTAGACCACATCTTTAACAGTTAATTGAATTGTCGCATAGCCCTCAATTTGGATTAAATGGGTGTTGCAGAAAAACATTGGCGTAATTAAACCAAACTGGACTGAATTTCATTGACTTGGTTTAGTTCCATTTTGATTAATTTGAGGTGGCGACGACCTAGAAGAAGAGGCACTGAGTTGTTGAATCTACTAGAGCAAAGGTCACAACCGTCGACGACACATAAATGTTTTTTTAAATTAAAAATCAAACTAAACAGACTTGATCGGTTCAATTTAATCTTCTTCTTTTTTTGGGGTGTGCACCCTTAAGTTTTAGAGCTTAACCGCCAACAATTTGGAAGTAAATGTTAACCCCAAATGATTACATAAAGCAAGCTAGCTAGTAGCTATGACACCACAATCTCACTACATTCATTCCCTCTCACTTGGCAAATGATTAGATGAAAGCAAACTAGTAGGTCTAACACCACAATCTCACTCTACATTTCCTCTCTCTCACCTTCCCAACAAAGACAGACATGCTAACTGCGAAGGTTGTATAACTGATCAAATAATTATCACCCTCCTCACCTAAATCCCTCATCTCCCACCACTTATAAAAACCCTCTCCATTCCCCCCAAAACTCATATCAAACACTTGCACAAAATATCAAACACCTTGTGCTTGCAAGCACCACTCTTGCTTTGGCATTATTTGTTTTCAAGCAAATTAAGCAGCCAAAACCCCACCACACTCAAAAACAAGATGGTAAAGCTTCAGCATCAGCCTCTTTTCTCACTCACATTGCCCCAGCTTCCCCATCAATTACAGGGCCAGCAGTTCCAGCACCACCAGCTGATGCCCCTGCACCTCCAGGCCCAACCAACATCACCAAAATCCTTGAAAAAGCAGGTGGCTTCAATGTCTTCATCCGCCTTTTAAAAAGCACCCAAATTGACAGACAGCTCTACAGCCAACTCAACAACTCAAATAGCCAACTCACCGTTTTAGCCCCAACTGACAGTGCCTTCTCAAGGCTCAGCACAGGCTCACTCAACTCTTTGGGCGATGAGCAAAAAGTGCAGCTCTTACAATTCCATCTGATCCCAGATTTTCTCACAATCCAAAACTTTCAAACTCTCAGCAATCCAGTGAGAACCCAAGCTGGAACTGGATTTGACTATCCACTAAACATTACCACAACAGGCAGTTCAGTCAATATTTCCACTGGCCTTGTGAACACCTCCATTTCAGGCACTGTCTACTCTGATAATCAAATTGCTATTTACAAAGTTAACAGTGTGCTCCAGCCTTATGGTGTTTTTGCTCCCAAGCATCACCAACTGTCACCGGCTCCGGCACCTGGACAAGAGAAGCCTAAGAAGGAGTCTTCATCATCGGATTCTGATGACACTACTCCTGATGTTGCTGAAGTGAAGTCTGGTGCTGTTCCTTGTCTGATCCCCAAGATTAATGCCATTGTCTCCATTGGAGTTGCTGTGGTTGCTGCTGCAGCATTAAGCTTCTCTTAACAAAATTGTATGTTGCAATTGGAGGTGGTTTGAATTTGAAGGGTAATAACTGTTGTTATGCATGTCAGAAATGTTATCTGTACTGTATGTGAGAGCAATACTGTTTCGTTGAAGTTCATTGGGCTTCTGTGTATTTTAAGAAACTTGTGTAAATTCCTCCATAAAATCAGTACATGGCTTCCCTTCATCATTCATTTTTCACTTTTTGAGTACCATTTTGAATGTATTTTAGAATACGAGTTATCATGAATGCGTTAGCATATGAACACAAAACTATGCCAAGTCATTATTAATGGTAAACTGAAAAAAATAAGTTCTCTTAATTTATTTCTAAATCTAATATATTTGTATTCATAAAAGTCAAAAATTTCCCTTAAACCAAAAATTTAATACTTCTCAAATATCTTTTGCTAATTTTTTTTTAATTTTTTATAAAAAAAATAGTAAAAATATATATATGAGAGCGTGACAAGAAACTAGTGAAAAATAAACGAAGTGCTTTATTTATTTATCAATATGTGCAAGTTCAAGTGCAAGTTCTTCATTTGGTCTCTCTTTCTCTCTCTTAGACAATGGAAGAGTGCCCCACTTATGAATTTGTCCTTAATTTTGTCGGTAACTGAAGCCTTTTTGTTCTGTTTTTTTTTCCTTCTTCTTGTACATTTCTAAACAAATTTTTACTTGAGCATTTTTAAAAATGTTATAGTATAAGGGGTCTTGGGATATAGTATAAATGTCGTTTTATTAGGGTGGGCCGAGCTAGTTTGGTTCGTGCTACATATTTAATCATTAATCGAATTGTCGCTCACCCCTCAATTTAGATAAAATGGGTGTTCAGAAAAATGTTGGTGTAATTGAACCAAAATTGGGCCGAATTTGATGGAGTTAGCCATGTGGGGCAGATCCAAGAAGGATGCTCTTAGTTTTGTTAAGGATCGGTTATTAAGCAAGTTCAAGGATGGAAGCAAGGCCTTCTTTCTCAGGGTGGAAGGGAAACTCTCATCAAATCTGTTGCTCTTGCTATTCCCATTTATCCCATGTCTATTTTTCTATTTCCCATGGGTTTCTGCAGTGAGCTTGATGGTGTTTTAGCAAATTTCTGGTGGGGTCATTCTGGGGACAAAAACAAGATACATTGGATTAACTAGCGGGCTTTGGGGTTACCAAAACATGAAGCGGGCTTTGGGGTTACCAAAACATGAAGGAGGCATGGGGTTTCGGAACCTGCATGAATTCAACCTTGCTTTGTTGGCTAAGCAGTGTTGGAGACTCTTAACTGAGCCAGACTCTTTCTAGGCTAAAATGATAAAAAGCAGGTACTTTCCTAACTGTGATTTTCTCCTGGCTTCTAAGGGTGCCAGAGCTTCCTGGGCATGGTCTAGCTTGCTTGCTGGAAGGGATTTCATCCTTCGTGGAGCTCGCTGGCAAATTCTTGATGGTAGTAGAGTTCACCTTTGGACTGACAAATGGCTCCCTTGTGTTGCTAATCCCATCCTCTGTCCCACTGATGAAAGCACAAGAGATGATACTTTGATGGTCTCTACTATTATTAACCACATTTCTATGCAGTGGAACCTCAATAGCATTCGTGATGACATTTCTACTCGTGATTTGGAAATTTTTTTGTCTCTCCCCTTGGGTGACGGAAGTGAATCTGATTGTGCCATTTGGCCCTTGAACCGCAATGGTGATTACTCTGTGAAATCCGGATACCACCTTATTCATTCCGGCGACTCCTCCAATGTTCACTTGCGCTCTTCTAGTCTTCTTGCTCCTACTAATGTTCTTTGGAAAGTGATCTGGAACTCTTCCTTAATCCCAAAATTAAAAAACTTCTTGTGGAGAGTTCTTTCAGGTTGCTTGGCTTCAAAGGAAAATTTGTTCAAGCAGCATCTTTGTGATTCCCCCATTTGCCCCCTGTGTGAGCAGGCTTCTGAATCTTTGGAGCACTTATTCCTCTTATGTGGTTGGGTCAAGTTGGTTTGGTTTGGCAGCCCCATGAACTATTGTGTTGATAGGCAACGTGTCACCTCTATGGCTGAATGGCTTTATGAAGTGATTGGGCCTCATAGTTCTCTTTGTGTTGACAGAACTCGGATTATTTCCCATGTGGCCTACACTTGTTGGGGCATTTGGCGTAGTCGTTGTGTGAAGATCTTTGATGGCAGTCCCTTGTGTCCAAAACAAACATTGTCTTATATAAAATGCATGATCTCTGACTTTGATTTGTTGAAGGATGTTTCTCATCCCGTGCAGCAACCTGGTACCACCTTTATATTTGATGATGTTTGGTCCCCCCTGCCTGCTACTTGGAGCAAGTTAAATGTGGATGCTAGTTGGACAACGACTCATCCTGATGTTGGTCTTGGAGGGGTAATTCAAAATTCTAGTGGTGTTTTCATGGGTGGTTTTGCTGCTTGTAAAATTGCTAATTCGGTTCTTGAAGCTGAAGCCCAGGAAGCTCTTGCTGGTCTATCACTTGCGGCTGAGATGGGTCTAGCAAACGTTGTCATTGAATCAGACTCCCAAGTGCTTGTGAATTGAGCAAGGGTGAAAATTCGTAAAGGAATTTGGTCTATCTACCCCATCCTCTCTGCCATCAAAAGATGCTGCAACAATTTTATCTCTTGTGATTGGCGATGGACTTATCGCTGGGCCAATAGGGCCGCTGACGCCGTTGCGGCTATTGCTAAGAGGACGAAGTGCGATAAGGTTTGGCTTGACAGACCCCCTTCTTCCCTTGTGTTTGTTCTTCAATCGGATGGTATGCCTTGCCCCCATGTTAATCTCCTTTTAGCTAGAGGCTGACGTGCTCCTTTGGTGACGTCCTAGTTTGTGGCCCTCTAGTTTCTATTACTTTCAGTTTTCTTCATATCTAGCATGTCTGTGTTTTTTCTGCTTGCTCCTGGGCGAGTCTGTCCCCTAGGCTGCTATCTTTTTCTTTCCTTGTTTGTGTTCCTTTTGGGTTGCTTTCCCTTCAATGAAGTTTCCCTTTTGACCAAAAAAAAAAAAGTTTGGTTCAATTTTGATCAATTTGAGGTGTCGACGACATAGAAGAAGAGGCAATTAGTTGTTGAATTAAGTAGAGAAGAGGTGACTACTAAAATTATGATGGAGTAGTTGTAGGAATATATTTATAGTACAATAAAGCTTTGGAGGCCAAGTTCTCAATTTTATTTATAGTAGAAAATCATAAATAAAGGAAAATCAATTACAATTAATACAAGAATCTTTGGCGTGCAAAGAAAGTCAACGGGTCCATAAGTCACGCCAACATTTTCCCTCAAATTAGTGCATAGCTGACACCAATGCCCAACTTGTCCAGTCAGTTGTGGCACACTTTACCAGAGTTTGCCTTTGTTGATATGTCTATTAACTGATCTTCTGACTTAACAAAAGCAAACTGAATTTTTTTGGCCTCGAGCTTTTGCTTGATAAAATATTGGTCCACTTCAACATGTTTAGTGCAATCATGTTGAACCGGATTATGTGCAATGGATATTGCAGCCTTGTTGTCACAATACAGATTCATCACATATGTGGGTTCATGTCCAAGCTCAATAAGCAATTTCTTTAACCAAAGGATATCGCAAATTCCTTTGGTCATACCTCTAAACTCAACTTTTGCACTGGATAAGGCAACCACCTTATGTTTCTTGCTTCTCCAAGTAACCAAATTACCCCCCACAAATGTGAAGTAACCTGATGTAGATCTTATATCAATAACACTTCCTGTCCAATCAGCATTCGTATAATCATCAATATTTAGGTGATTGTTTCTTGGGAACATATGTTTCTTCCCTAGTGTCGACTTTACATATCAAAGGATTCAAAGGACTGCATCCATTTGGTCTTCACTTGGGGAATCCATGAACTGACTGACAAGGCTCACAGCATAAGCAATGTCTGGTCCAGTATGTGACAAGTATATCAATCTCCCCACTAACCTTTGATATCTCTTTTTGTTAATGGGTACTTGATCAGGGTATTCTCTAAGCTGATGATACTGAACAATTGGAGTATCCATCGGTTTGCAATCTAGCATTCTTGTTTTTGCCAACACCGATACATAATTCATTTGAGAAAGAAATATGTCTTACTTTGATCGAGCCACCTTAATACCCAGAAAATACTTGAGTCCACCGAGGATCTCATCTCAAACTCCATTGCCAAATATTCTTGAAACTTAAAAATTTCTTGTTTATCATTCCAAATGATGATCATATCATCAATCTAAATTATTATGGCAGTTACCTTCCCGTCCTGGTACTTCAAGAATATAGTATGATTTGAGTTGTTTTGCTTGAAACTGTTATTCTTCATTGCCATAATGAACCATCCAAACCATGTACAAAGTGATTGCTTTAACCCATATAAGGCCCTTTTCAGTTTGCACACCACACTAGTCTGAGTAGATGCATCATATCCAGGTCAAATGTTCATGTACACATATTCTGTAAATTTTCCATGCAAAAAAAAAATATATATATTCACATTAAACTGGTGAAGTGGCCAATTCAGGTTGACTAGAAAAGACAACAGAACTCTGACAGTGTAAAGTTTTGCCACTTGAGCAAAGGTTTTTCTTCATAATTTATGTCTTAGGTTTGTGTGTACCTTTTTGCCACAAGTCTTTCCTTGTATCATTTAATGGATCCATCAACCTTGTGTTTGATGATGAATACCAATATGCATTCGACTGTTCGTTTTCCTTGTGGCAATGACTCCAGTTTCCATGTACTATTTTTTTTTTCCAGGGCCTCCATATCTTTTTTCATTGTTTAAACCCACTTCAGATCTTTTAATGCTTCAGTTACCTTGGTTGGAATGTGCATAGCACACAACTGATGCATGAAATCCTCGACTGGTTCAGGAAATCTCTAAGTTGAACATGATTTGCAATTTGGTACTTTAATGTCTTGCCAATATAAGGAGAAAGCCAGTTTGGTGGTTTTCCATAGTTTTCCCTGAAATGTAATTTATATCCAATATAATCATCAATTAGATTCACAAAAGTAGTGGGAGTAATTACCTCAGAGATATTCTTAGGAGATTGGTCAACCGATATTGAGGAATAAGAGTGGGGGTCTTCAACTTGTTTAGGTTCATCTTCCAAGTAAGTAGAAACAGAGCTCAACTTAGGAGAATCTTCAAAAGTTCCAAGCAATCGATTGCTGGGGTCAGGGCGATCGATCGGTTTTGTGCCGAAAGTAACCTCATGATGTAGTCTCTTAGGAGATCGATCGACAGGGGAAGATTAATCAATCGATGCTGTCTAACAACAAATTTTTCTATCTTCTAGGGTGCTCAAATTCTGTTCTTCATTCCGTGTCTCCCCATAATGCGGAGAATTGGACACCGGGTTAGAAAAATATATCTCAGACTCTAAGAAGGTGACATCCAAGGTAACATACATGCGCTAGGTAATCGGATGAAAACATCGATAGTCTTTCTAATGTGCAGCATACCCCAAAAAAACACCATAGAGCACACATGGATCAAGTTTGCTACGTTGGTTCTTATGAAAATTAAAAAAATGCCTCAAACCAAAGATCTGCAGTGGAAGCATCGAAACGGAGGGCAAATGGTTGGTTTTGCGCGAACACGTGTAATGGAGTAAGAAAGTCCAAGATGCTTAAAGCCATGTAGTTTAACAAGTATACTGCCATGACAACTGCATATTCCTAATAGATTCGAGGTACGTGAGTTCTAATAAGAAGTGTGCGGATTGTTTCAAGAAGGTGTCTGTTCTTTTGTTCAACAACATCATTTTGTTGCGGTGTCTGAGGACATGTCGTCTCATGTATAATGCCATATGTCTAGAAGTAATGTCGAAAATCATGGTTCACACATTCGCCACAATTGTTGGAGCGGAGAATCTGTATCATAAAGGAACTGAGTTTGAATATGCTTATTAAAAGACTAAAACAGGGTATATAATTCATTTTTATTCTTCATCAAGCAAAGCCAAATCATAGGGGTACAATCATCCAAAAATGTCAAAAACTATCGAAAGCCAAAAAAAGCAGTTATAGGTGAGGGTCACCAAATATCATAGTGAATTAAAGTAAACAGAGCAACACTCTTACTCGAACTCAAAGGATAGGGCACACGGCGACTCTTGGCCAAAATGCAAGTGTTGCATCTAAAGTTGGAGTTCTTCAAATATGAGAATAAAATCGGTAAAAGATTCTTCATATAACGAAATGATGGATGTCCCAATCGACAGTGCGACAACCATATTTGCCTTTGTTTGCTATCAGAAGGATGTGTAACACTGTTAGCCCTACCTGTACTAAAGTCATCCACATAATATAGCCCCCTCTCTTTGTACCATGATTAATGATCTCCTTAGTGTGAATATCCTAAAGCAAACAAAAATTCGGGTAGAATAGTACACAACAATTCAATTGTTCAGTAACTTGACCAACTGACATCAACTTATTAGATAGAGACTCAACAAGTAAAGTATTAAAAAAGGAGAGAAGGGATGATAGAGGAATAGTGTCAACCCTTGTCACAGGATAAGTAACTCAATTGGCATTAGCAATACTAGTTCACCTGGGTTGGGTGTTACTCAGAAAATCATTAGGATGAAACTTCATATGAGCAATTGCCCGTGAATCAATGATCCAGCCTAGAGCTGGGCATATGGGACCGAAAACTGGCCAAACCGGCCGAACCAAACCGATCGGTCCGGTTTGGTTTGGTTTTTTCCTTCTCTTTTTGGTCAACGGTGCATGAACCGGACCGAATCGGTGGTCATGGTTCGGCGCTCGGTTCCTAATTTTAAAAACCATCGGTTAACCGAACCAAACTGGATATGTTAAATTATATGTAATTAAATAATTATAATACATGTGAATGATGAATGATACATATAGTTTACTTTGAAACTTTGGATGGATGTGAATGATGAATGATGCATATGTTTTAGTTTGAAAGGATTGATTGAATGAATGAATTTGAATATGTTGTGATGTGAATGGTGAATGAATTTCAAGTAGGTTTTGAATGAATGTTTGAGTTTGAATGAATTTTAGAGTCTACATGTTTTCAAGCAGGTTTTGAACCAAACCAAACCGAGGTAACCGGTTAACCGAGATGATCGGTTTCCGACCTCATTGGTTCGGCGCACGGTTTGGCCTCATAATCGAACCAAACCAAACCAAACCAAACCGAGGTAACCGGTTAACCGAGATGATCGGTTTCCGACCTCATTGGTTCGGCGCACGGTTTGGATTTTCTCCAAACCGAGGTTCACGGTTCGGCGCACGGTTTGGCCTCATAATCGAACCAAACCAAACCGAGCCCACCCCTCCAGCCCATGGAATCACTCTTATCAGAAGTACGGAATACATAACTAGAACCACTACTTGCAGCTTCACGTCGTTTTTGGTATTTGAGTTCATCCCACCATTATGGGTAGCCATTCAATTTGAAACAAGTTTCACAATGGTGTCTCTTATTGTCACAGTGTGTGTAGCCTCCTCTATTTGTCTGGGTCTTTGTTCGAGAAATCGTAATATGTGCAGTAGAAGATTCTTAAGGTATAGTTTGAGTCGGAATCTAGGTCTAGATCAGAGTCTAGGTCTGGGTCTAAGTCTGGGTCAGTATTTGGGTATGAATCGGAGTCTTGGTCAGTGTCTATGTTGGAATTTGAGTCTGGATCTGTGTCAGTAACTGGGTCATTCTTGAAGTCAAGTATGCTAAGATCTAGGTATGGTGGGAGAGGAATCAATGGTGCCACCTCTATAGGGGGTTATCTAATCCCCTATGGCAGTGTCAGCTGGAGTTTGGCTAGGGTTTAGAAGCAATCCCAAGATTGCAACTTTGATAGCATGCTAACATTATGAGAGAGTAATTGTGGTGGGAATTTTCTATGTATTTTTTTTTTTGGTCAAAAATTTTTCTATGTATACTTTTCCTTGTAAGAAGCCATATTTATAATACAATAGAAGTCTTGGAGACCAAGTAGAGTAATTAATTCCTAATTCTATTTATAGCAGGAAATCAGAAATAAAGCAAATTCAATTATTAATATAGGAATCTTTGATGTGCAAGGAAAGTCAACGAGTGCACAAGTCACGCCAAGAATGAGGACCGTCAACGACACATACCTAGTCGACTCTGAAAAAATACTTGAAGATAGGTAAGCAAAATAGGAAGATATATATGAAAAGAGGAAAAGTATGGAGGAAGAGAAATCCAACCAAAAATATTAAAATTGGAGCGGAATCAGTTTAGATGGTTGATTCAAAATAAATGTTTTTTAAATTAAAAATCGAATTACACTGACCTGATTGGTTCGATTTAATCAATTTTTTCTCCGGTATTTATGTGCACACTTGTGTTTTAAAGCTTAACCCCACGTAAATCTTAAACCCCAAATGATTACATGAAAGCAAACCAGTAGCTCTGACACCACAATCCCACACCCACTCTATATCCATTCCCTCTCTCTTGGCATATGATAAACACCAAATGATTAGATGAAAGCAAACTAGTAACTCAACACCACAATCTCACTATATTGATTCCCTCCTCACCTTCCCAACAAAGACAGACATGCTAACTGCGAAGGTTGCATCAAATAATTATCACCCACCTCACCTTATATCTCCTTTCCCACCACTTATAAAAACCCTCTCCATTTCCCCCCAAACTCATATCGAACATCTTCTCCAAATATCAAACACCTTGTGGTTTTTAATTGTTTCCAAGCAAATTACGAAGCCGCATCCCACCGCACTCAAAAACAGGATGATGAAGCAGCAAAATCAGCCTCTTTTCTCACTCACACTGCTACTGATCTTCTTCTCCCATTGCACCAAAATCTTATCCCAAGCTCCTTCTGCTTCCCCTGCTGCTGCCCCAGCTGCCCCAGCTACCCCAGGTGCCCCAACAATTTCAGGGCCAGTGGTGCAAGCACCACCAGCTGATGCCCCTGCACCTTCTGGCCCAACCAATATCACCAAAATCCTAGAGAAAGCAGGTGGCTACAAAGTCTTTATCCGCCTTATAAAAAGCACCCAAGTTGACAACCAGCTCTACCGCCAACTCAACAACTCAAATAGCCAACTAACCGTTTTCGCCCCAACGGATGATGCCTTCTCAAGTCTCGGCACAGGCTCACTCAACTCTTTGAGTGATGAGCAAAAAGGGCAGCTCGTACAATTCCATCTGATCCCAGATTTTCTTACAATCCAAAACTTCCAAACTATCAGCAATCCAGTGAGAACCCAAGCTGGATCTGGATTGGAGTATCCACTAAACATTACCACATCAGGCAATTCAGTCAACATTTCCACTGGCCTTGTGAACACCTCCATTTCAGGCACTGTCTACTCTGATAATCAAATTGCTATTTACCAAGTTGACAGTGTGCTCCAGCCTTATGGTGTTTTTGCTCCCAAGCGTCAACTACCGTCACCAGCTCCAGCTCCAGCACCTGTACTGGGGAAGCCTAAGTTGAATTCTTCATCATCTGAATCTGATGACAGTGACACTAGTACTACTCCTCCTGTTGCTGAAGTGAAGTCTGGAGCTGTGCCTACCGTGCTCCCCAAATTTAATGGCATTGTCTCCATTGCAGTTGCTGTGGTTGCTGCAGCAGCATTAAGCTTTTCTTGACAAAATTGTTTGTTCCAATTGGAGTTGGTTTGAATTTGAAGGGTACGTAATAATTGTTGTTATGCATGTCAGAAATGTGATCTGTATGTGAGACCAATAATGTTTTGTTGAATTTCATTGGGTTCTTGATTTGTTTTGTTTCTTGGTATAATCATTATACTATAATGCAATATTTTCATTTGCGCATTTCATCTTGGGCTTCTGTGTATTTTAAATTTGTGTAATTCCCTCCACAAAATCAGTACATGGCGTCTCCTGAGAAACTTGAGAATACGAGTTATCATCACGAATGCGTTAGCATATGAACACAATCATGAATGCATTGCATTAAAGCCCCATGTCAAATTACCTAAAACAAAGAAAACCATCCAGAAAAATTAATTATTTTATCTGATCCAAGTGTAATCTTTTGTGCCTTATGAGAACTAGTTACATCTCATATTCGTATAAGGGACAGCGAGACACTGAGAGATTGAGAAATAAAGAGAAGTACTTTTTTTTAAAATATATGCGTACCCATGAGGCAGCAGCTATCGCCAATTTGAGGGTGAGGCATCTCAGACTAGCTATTTGCTTTTGTTTTGTTTAACGGTTTGTAGTTTCTGGGCTGTCTGTTAGCCATGCTTGTAATTGCTACTGGTTTGTTTCCCTTCCCTTTTTGGGTTTTCTATCAAAGTTTGAACTTGACAAAAAAAAAAGTGCAAGTTCAATTCTTCATTTGCTCTCTCTCTCTCTCTGGCTGTCCCCTAGGTTTTTTTTCTTCTCTCCTTTCCACCCTTAGACAATGAAAGAGT